GAGATTTGATTGGACATATCTAGATATATATAAATAAGTATTGAGCAAAATGCCATTTCAAAGGATAAGAAAAGGTGCAGTAGGGTGGATTGCTTGTTAAAAAGTATATATATATAATAGGAATATTGTCATATATTAGAAATTGGTGTTATATGTGGATAAAGATCGTTGCGGCATTTTTATAATTCAGAAAGGAGTAAAAAAATTGGTAAGTAATGAATCAGTAAGTTTATGGTTTTTGTAATCTGTTAAAAATTTTTTTAGCTGTTCCAGAATTTATGAACATTTTAAGATATAAACAAATCGGCGTTATGAAAAATGATAAATTTATCGTTTATGGTTTTAATATTAAAAAATCAATTAATATTAATTCATGTTTACAAGGAGCCTTTGGCAGAATTATAGGGTGTGTATTAGAACGAGCTATTTAAGCTATTAAAGATTGAGAAGAATTTAACTAAGGTAGATAAAATTATAAAACTATTACTAGATGACTCAAACTTTTGTAGAGCTTAAGTGATATAATACAGAACTAATTAATTATTCCATATATTAGGCTTCTCTAAGGTTTAGCTTTAAAACCATTACTTGATGTAAATGCATACATAGATTTTTTGTTGTTTAAAGAGGTATTTAATATCGCAGCTAAAACAACTGTAATATTTCATGCGGTTAAACAGGTTTAATTCATAGTATCTGGATCTTTGATTTGATTGGTATGTGATTACCATTACAATTTGTTGAATAGCTATTAGACGTCATGAGTTTTTCTTATTAGATATTTTATTATTACTCATGAACGTGGGAAACTGTATATATATGTATATTTAATAGAATATCAATATATTTATTAAAATAGGAATATTTCAGAATGGTTTTTATTGAGCGCGAAGGCTATCTTGAAGTTTATAAGTTGTTTATTATTCGTTAACAAATAAAGAGATATTTATTTTATTTTTCTTAACCATTTTCGATTATTGCCATCAGATTTGTTAATTTCATAATTGCTTTATATTATTATTGTGAAGATAATGGCAATATAGAATTCGCAAATTTAATGATCATACTAATTTCAAATAGCAATAATTATATTTGTCAACAATCATTTTTTTAAGATCCAGAAGTTAGATTTAAGTAGGTTTTATCTTTAATAGGACATCTGACATTAGCAAGATTTTCAATTTTTAATAGCATTTATATGGTGCTGGAAGTCTACACTCGAAAATCACGCAACCATAAAAATAAACCACATCAACTTTTTGAGGCGATATTTCAAAAAACTGACCGATAACTTTGTAAAGCTCACTACAAAGAACAAGGTTACCGGTCAGTTTTTTGAAATATTGTTTTTACAAAAAGTTGATGCATTTTAAAGATACTATGTTTTACTATGTTTTATCGAAAATTGAAATTATATTACGTCGCAAAAATAATCCTATTATTATTGGTTGCTTCGTGATCATATGACTTATTAAATCTCCAAGACGTGATGGACGTTTCCGATTGGTTGTTTAATTTCAGGGGAGCTCTTGGAGGTGGAGGGGGAGAACATTAAACGAAATTGTAATTTCAAACAGCGTTATTATGGATTTAATCAAAATATCTTAATAATTATTTAACAAATTCAATAAAAATTTATTTAAAAATTAAAAATCTATAGAATTTAAATAAGTGATTATTGAAGTACAATATTTTCAAAGTTTTAATAATATTATTATTTTATATATATATATATATAATCTCTAGTATAAATCTAAATTTCAAAATTGGAATCTGGTTTTTGAAAAATCAGGTTTCAAAGCTCTAAACCCAATAACTTTACCATCCCTAAATTAGTGCATCTATAAGATGTAAAAAAAATTATACACTAACTACTGAACTTATTGGAGGATTATTTACAATATTTTCAGATGATTTTTGAGAACTATTCTTTTTTCTTCCAATATAATCTCTAAGTGCATGAAGCCCGTACATCAAAAAATAAAATACAATAGAGAGAACATAAAGGGCGATATAACGAAGTGTTATGTTTCCAGGAGAATCATTATACCAATTTAGGAAATTATATACCCAAAATTTATGTTTATCATAAACAAGAAAAACTTCAAACGTATAAAGTATTTGAATAGGTATTGTTATAAATATGAATGATATTTTCATTATTTGACAATTTAAAAATAATTCAATCAACATGGTCACAAACTCCACTCCATGAACAGAAACATTTAGCCACCAGATGAACCATGGATTATTTTCACGAATAAAGTCACTTGAAAGTGTGATCCAGTAGACAAAAACAATAAAAGAGCTATTTATTTAATTAAATATGAATAAGTTACGAAGATATGAATTTTAAAATTAGCAAATTAAGAATAATACGACTTACTGATAATGTACAAGAGTGTGATAAAGGATCCAAAATATAAAATTGAATAATTTTGAAAATTGTTCAAGAGAGTTTGATCTGATTGAATAATATAATGTAACCTGTAAATGAAATTATAAACAATTATTTAATGAATATTCATAATAAAATATGCCATCAAAAATAAATATTTGTTTACCGTAAAGTAAAGGGTCTGACCGATGTAGCTTAAATTGGTAAAATAACATAAAAAGCATTCCAAATCATTACTGATACCATATTGTGATAGACTGTGTGAATATAACCCATATTTTAACAGATCTCCAATTAAAATAATCCAGGAATAAACGGTCACCACAGCACGAAAAATTTTTAATGTTCTAGAACTTACGAACCAAGAAGTGACAGATAAATTTGGATCAAACTCTCCCCAATGGAAAAAATTCATTTTTGAATTTTATGAGAGCCAAGAAATTGTATGCAATATTATATGCTTTGTCAGTGGCTTTTGTCGAGCACATCAATGTTACAAATATAGGCAATAAAATATGACTAGAACTGATGTAATCCTATGTAAAACAAAAGTAAACAATTCACTGTTACATTTGCGAATTATTAACAAACTATCAATATAAACTTGAAATCCATATTAATGAATACCTATCAATAGTATGATAAGACGGAGGACACGCCTGGTTAACAAGAAGTAATACAAGGCGTAGAAATCTAAAAAAGTTCAATGTTTGTTTTTGTATGATAATATGCCAAGTAAAATTAAACCTATACCGCGCTTCATTGAATAAGTCACTGAGAGCAATTTAGCTATCTTCAATAAGCTAAATTTATTTTTTACAGACATTATTCAAGAAGTAATTGGTTTTTACCATGCATAATGAATAATTGTTATTAATAATGACAATTTTTGCTTATCTTTAATTAGAGGGCTTAATTTTGACTTTTTAACGTATTATTTCAATAAATCACTGAGGTTCTTATATTTCATACACCGTATGTATACATACAAAGTTTGCAGAAAGAAAAATTTTCATTATGCTCTACTCCGTATTCCGATTTACTTTTTCGCGAATAATACAAACCAAAAAAAGGAAATTGTTTGCCAAGTAGTGAAGACATAAATTTAAGTTTAGGGCGTTAGTTTGGAATATAGGAATAAAGTGTCATTTCCTATATGTAAAATTTTGTTCCCAACATTTTAATTAGTGTATTTTCCTTTCTTTGCTTTTTTTCTTTCGTACGTGTTCGGATTTTATGCCGGGCTGATCCAGGATAATCAAAAATTGAACGCTGTTTCTTTTTTAGAATTTTGTATTACTCGGGCAAATAAGTGCGTTGAGAAAGTCGAAAATCCTCTAAGCTGGATATAGGTCGGAATATGGATAACACAAATACACTACACTAATGCTAATTAAACCACTCTAACTAATCCAAGTAGTGGTAGTACTGTTGTTAGGCGAAACTATTTTTGGCAAATGACGAAACTCTGGCGAAACGGCGAACTCTGGCGAAATGGCGAAACCCCTGCAAGAAAGTCAAGGATTAAATCCTCTAAGACTTTGAAAAGACTGAGGGTGCTCTCAAGCATCTCTCTCAGTGTAATTAGCTATAGAGATCGTGCACAAGTACTACGATTAATTGAAGTAAACCTTGTCGGATATTAAATTTTAGCCAATCAGCACAACTCTATGATAAAAAAGGATGGTTTCTGACCATCTTTTTTTTCATCGCGAGAACAGGATAATAAACTCGCTTGAAAGAATAATTTATTTTCCACTAATTAAAAATTGAACCCAGCCCTATTAATTTAGATGCTTGAGAACACTTTGAGCCATGTTAGTGAATCAAAATATTTTGCGCGTGGCTAATAAGCATAGCATGTGGCTTATATAAAAAATGTACAAAAACAAGCAAAGTGATAGCTTTTTGTTTGTATTCGAATAATATTAAAAGCAAATTTGACTTTAGGCTCTTGAACTTATAATTAAATCAATACAACCATGTAAAATAAATCTATCTAAATATTTAAATAAATTTTACTGTTATATTGTTAAGATTTTTTCTCTTTAACACTTCCTTTAACACTTCCTTTAACACTTCCTTTAAGTACGTGGCGTTAAAATAGAGAATGTTTAATTAAATGCTTATCGTACAAAAAACGTATTGTATATTGTAAACGTCGAATTTACACATCTGGTAACGATATGCAAATGACGTCGTACCACTGTTCAATTTTTTTTAATTTTTAAATTTATTAAATCGATTAAGAACAAATCGACAAAATTAAAGGAAATGAAGAAATGGATTCAATTAGTTAAATTTAATAAATTTATTCCATATGTAATATTTACCTTCAATAAAATTAACTCGTAGAGTTAAAAAAAAACCTAAGTTCTTTAAGTAGAAGTGTTTGGCTCTACTAATCCCCGATAAGTAAAATCTGTAATAACGATAGGATTAGTAACCAAATCCCGTGATTCCATATTAAGAGACTCGTGACATAGCCTAGAGCCCTAGTTACTTGGACCAAGTTTTCCCACGCCTCGATCGAAATCTTACCATCATTAGGGTTCAGTTAGAGTTGTTTAGTTTGTATTAGTGTAGTGTTGTAGTGTATTCTTGTATTGAAGGGCATTTTTACACTTCTACAACGTATGTAAGTTATTCATTAATATTGTTATTACTTCCGATTCTCTATTTTATCTAACCCTAAGTCTCAGGACTAACTTTAAGGAATAATTGCTATATCATTGACCCATAATAATTGATTAAAAGCATTGTATATGACAGCATAATTATTCATATTATGTGTCAAATTAAAGACTAGAGTAGTACCTATGCTAGAAGTAGTGATTGTATCCATTCCGAAATCAAAACCTGACTACTTATGAGTAGGCTACCCAGGTAGTAATATTCACGAATGAAGTTTTGTAGTTCAACTTTCTGAAATGCAATTTTTCAGATTTTATAATTTTATATTCCTTTTTCTAACAAAATACATTTTGGGTTCTGTTTATTTTACCAATACTCACTTTACTGATAGTTATAGTTAACTAGATAGATTTGGTTGGGTTGCATAAAAAGACCTGATAGAACTATAATAGGAATGGTTCAATTAGGCTAAACCTACTTTAGAAATAAAGTAGTCCTAAGACTAAGATTATACTTGTACGCATAGATGGTGGTAGAATTCAAAAAAAGAAATTATAACAATGATTACTAATCATTTTCATTGTTAAAATTTCCTTTTTGAATTCTACCGCCATCTACGCTTGTACGAGTAATATAATAACTAATAAAGTATACAAGACCAATGAGGTCGCTTATAAAAAAAAAAATTATTTGCAAAAATACATTAAGTTGCATAGTTTCTTTGTGGAGTTCATATAAACAACTAGTAATATCGAAATGTTTGTCGAAATTACTTTTTTTAAAAAATAATTTAAACACACATGTATAACCCAAATACACTACAAGTACCAAATTTAAAAATTAAACCCGGATCTCCTATTACTAAAGAATTTGTACCTGCTCAACTTAAATGTTAGCAATAAATTTTATTTAAATCTAACGCAAGAAATAGTTTTAGACGAAAACTTTTCCAGTTACCTTAACTCTACAGTATAATTTCACGTGGCCTAATAAACGGTGGTATTTTTTGTCTTCTAAGCAAAGTATGCGAGGAGTGAGATGATTTAGAGATTATTTTTGCACAGTGAATATTGACGTTATTTCAAGGTTAGGAACGGCTTTTGCTGTGATTTTTTTGTTAGTGAACATTACGTTCTAATAAGTGCTTTAAAGCGTATAAATAAGTTACCCGGGTAATTGAACTCTTCCGGGACAATCAAAATTCACGCATTCCGATTGGCCATTGTCTTATGCATCATGCAAAATTGTCTAGATAAATGTTCCAGAAAATTTTTTGACAATTTATATAGATTAAAAAGATCCACACGCCAACAATGAGTTTCACCTTGTCCCGTAAAACCGGTGGCTTAATAAATGCTTTAAGGACAACTACAAAATTAATATCATATAAAAGCATTTTACAGACTCGTTATCTTACTAAAACTCAGATTATCAAGAATAGAAGTCATAGAAGTCATGCTCACCATTTTGCTACAAATCAGCTTACCGGGGAGAAAGAAACTAATTCTGATACCGCAGTATCTTCCTTTAAAGACTCGATCTCAAATTTTGTATCCCATGAGGAGGAAGTATTGAGAATGAAATTTTATGAGAAAGATTCAATGCGTGATATATTAGAAGCAGGTAATAAAAATTAGTTATAATATTTTAATATTTTATAAAATAATCGTTTGAAAAAAAGCTAATCCTTCGATATTCAAAAAAGACGTTGATCATAATATTATTCCAGAACTTCAAGATTATGTTCTCACTGAAATTAAGGATATTGATTGTGTAAGACGCTTCAATATTCGTAATTATCCGAATTTAAATAAAAATCAAAAGAAATTTCTTGGTAAACTCAACCATCTGCTTTTGAACGAACATCATCTAAAAATCATTGACAAATATATAGATGAATTTGTATTATTTTTGTGTGATCAAGCAAGCCTTGATGACGGAGTAGACTTAACCATTGCGCCTTAGAATTAGAAATTAATGAAAATGAATTTGAAGTATATGCCGATAGAGAAGGCAAAAGAGGTGCTGAAATAGTGTGGGTGTTGTGTGAAGATAAACATAAAGGAGCCATAAAATATAAGAAATGGGAAGCTCATTTAGTGGCATGTATGATTGCAGCGGCTCAATGGAATTATTCTATGTTGGATGAGGTATATCCAGAAAAAATTGTGGGTATTAGAGTAATTGGGGATAAATTTTGTTTTTATTCGGCTAATACCGATCAATCTTATCTCGAAGATTTATTATGTGGTCTTCCTCGAAACGATTTACATGTTCACAAATATCCTAAAGGATATGGATTCTGTATTTCAAACGCTAATGAAAGGCTAGAGGTGCTTGCATGTTTATCTGATCTTAAAAGTTATGCATTGAGTCTTTCGCCAAAGTTGGATGTATATGAAAAAGAGAATTTAATAAAGAGAATTTAATGTAGCTAGTTCTTTTTGCCGTTGTAGTTTTTATAACTATCTTTAGAATATTACTATTAATAAACCAGGCTCATTGTCTATAATTATCACATTATATCATTGAAACTAAAAATTTTAATTAATATTGGGCTTTAGGAATTTGGCAATACTGACAATACTTATTCACATTTTGATCTATTATTTACCTCTATAATCTTGGGCATAAATAGTTATTTATTTATAATATCCGGTTTATTCTCTCTCCAAATACGAGTCGGTTTTAAACCGAAGTTAAATAGCTCTGTAATAACTCTCAAAACCAAAATGATAGAACCGTTTTTATATCACACAAACTCAGAATTAAATTAAATAATGTATTTAAATCCAATTGTATATGTTACGGGTTATGTTTGTTTTTAGGTTAGGTTAAACTTGACAGTCAATTTAATCAAATTCGAATCAGCGTCCATAACTGCACTAGCCAAAAATTTTCCTTGACCGATTTTACTAATATGCTCACAAATACCTAACCATATCTAATTTTGACGAATTTTAAGAATTTTTATCGCCGTTACGTGACTGCAACTTTTTTGATGAACCACCTCCAGACCGCGGACGGAGCGATTATAATGACACAGAATACGATGCGACATAATATGAGCATAATTCAACCCATTCGCATACGCATTATGCGTTGCATAAAGCCGCATAATTATACGATAAAACGTGAAATAACATGGTTATACGCAAAGTACCCTCAATTTTAAAATGAGGGTTTTAAATAAAACATAAGTAGTGCAGTGACGTGCCTGCTGATTGATAATGGTGACTTAGCATATGGGATTTTTCTCAAGAATTGTGATTAGTGACAAATTTATTTAAAATGCAGCACTAACATATTTGACGCTTTATTCTGTTAATTTAACTGATTACAATTGATTACTGCTATTTTACTACTATTTTACTATAAGTATAGTCAATCTAATCATCCAGATCCCAAAAAAATCTAGTCGTTTTTAACTTCGTCTTTTTTATGCGATCCGTTTTCATGAAACTCATTATAATTAATGTCGTTTTTAGTACTTTGTGACGTTCCATGAATTTCTTCCTTTTTACACCCAGTATCGCTGAGAGATTTCGCAGAACTAGTATCTTGAACTAAGCCATTGCTTTCAAAAGATGAACGACGAACAGGTTCACTTGATACACGATCAATGGGTTCAGTAGATAAGTTAGGAACGGACATAACGATCTTCACATCACTCACAGATTCAGAAACTTCACGGGGACTAGTTTCACTCACAGTTTCAACAACTTCATCGGTTTTACTTTTACTCGCAGTTTCGGCAACTGTACTAGTTCTACTTCCACTCGCAAAACTGGTAATGAGATGAGGAAATTCCTTTTCATCGACAATTAGAAAGATTTTGATTATTCCCTCTTCTTTTTTATCCAATTTTTTGTAAGCTTTCGGAGCTTCGGACAGGCTCATGTGATGAGTAAAAATATTCGTGAATATATTGCCTTCACACATGATTGGTAGGATTATATCTCTGTTTTTTAATTTTAAACACGTGATGTTATAATTTCATAACGATAATCTTAACGATAATCTTAACGTTAATATTAATTACCGATGATTTCGACTGTGAGATTTGCCTCCTCGAATGGAAAGTGACTTGTCCTTAAATAATGGAAAATAGATTAAATAAATAAGTTTCTGTATTTAATGCTAAGATAAGATAAATAAGTAATTTACCATGATAGCATCAATTCTAAAATGGTTAGTAAACGTGTTGTAATCACCGATCAAGCTAATACTGCCACCTATAAGAATCATTCGTTATTTTTGTATGTTTTATGAACGTATTAAAATAATCAGATGTGTACCTCTCTTCGTGCACAAAATAGCTTCATCAAGTGCATCACAACTTTCAGTATCAGCAAACAAAGCCTTCTCAAGCTTGCCGATAAAAGATTTTGTAACATAATTATTTCCCTAAAAATTTGAATTTATAATTAAGTAACAACTGGAAGAAGGCTTTAATTTTTGGAATTTATTATTCTAAATATTTTACCACAGCATCAATAGCAATATCCAAACCTCCAGGTACGGAAACTTTTATCTTTCCAACGACGTCTTTATCTTCTTTACAATTAATTATTTCAATTCCTTCAATTTTAAGAGCAACTTGTAGGCGGCTCGGAACAGAATCGATTACAATTACGCGAGAAGCTCCAAGATATTTTGCCCATGCCGCACACATTATTCCCACTGGACCGGCACCTTTAAATTTATTATATTAAATTTGATATGAGAAATTTGGCAATTTATTGAAGAAATTAATTACCCCAAATTCCGACAATGTCTCCTACATTAATTGGAAGTAAATAATTAGTATTTAAGAATAATTAATTGGTTTTTACGTTCCAAATTTACCTTTAAGAACTTTACTCATTTCGCATGCATGCAATCCTTTACAAGCCACAGAAGACAGTAAAAGCGCTTTCTCCTGAATATGATAGATAAATCCGAAACTTCTTAATATTGATACAGTAATTATAAAGATTATTATTACGTACCATTAAAATTTGACTTTCTTCATCAGAGATATGAATAAGATTAATGTCAGCGAAAGGGACTCGAACGTATTCAGCTTGTGTACCTGTTTTCAAAATTTAAAATCAGAAACAATCATATATATTCTAACATTTGTTTCCTGTATGTAAAATCGGTTTGTACGAAAAAAACTTACACTTATTCAATAATACTAACCATGAAATTTTTCTGCACTCTCACCGGAATCATTTGGGTTAAAAATATCACAACAGCTAAACAACCCTCTTCTGCAAGAACCGCAAGACCCACAAGCAATTACGGATGAGATAACGACTCGATCGCCAACATTATATTTTGATACCTGTCTGCCAACCTTTTTTAATGATAATCAAAAATTTAAATATATCATTGCAAACAAAAAAAGTAATAGTAATTATATAACAAATCTTTTTAATATCTAAATACTTCATGAATTATGCCCATTCCTTCGTAACCCATAACGTCACCTTTCGCCACGCGAGGAATTCCTTTATGATACAGGTGAAGATCAGATCCGCAGATTGTCGTTGCGGTAATACGAACGATGGTATCAGTCGGTTTCTTGTTTTTTTTCAATAAACAAATGAGTAAATACGTATATATTCAATATATTTTTATTCAATTGACAATTTTTTTTTTTTGAACTTACAGTAATCACAGGTCTTGGTCGTTTCATATTAACGCGAACATCAGTTGTTCCATGCCACTCGACGGCCATCATGGTAACGTTAAGATTTTTTTCAGTTTTTATGCTGGACTTCGTTGGGCTTTGTTCAGTCATGGTGAATATTGCTTGAAAAAAATTTTTGCCTTTTCTTGCTGAATTGTGAATGGGTTTTAGTATTAATATTAGAATGATATTTTGAATGACGAGATTTTAGTGTCATAATACATTTATTATGTAAAATGACGAAAGTTTCTATAAATTGAATACCGTCATGATATAATATATATTGTTTGAATCGTGATTTTTCTTGAATTATTACGCCATCTAAACTAAATTATTACACACTACAACATTTTCGCACTAGTACAAATTATTATCCCGACTGAGACTTGCAATTACTTGCTAAAATTTAATAAAAGTCTTAGCAAGAAGTGGAGATATTATAAGCTGGTATTTGTAAGCGTCCTTATTTAATACAAAATTTTGATCTGATCTAACAACTAATAATTCATACCATGTTTTAATATACAATATTTTTATATATACAAGTCACGCTTGTTTCAGTGAACTTTCGACATAGCGAAGACTAATTAAAATCACGATATATTGAAACCTGTTTATATGAAATTCTCTCGATAGAGTAAATTACAAAAATTTTTGTTAAATGAAACTGATCACTTCACTATAATGAGAGTGGCTTGTAGTAATAATAACACTATTTAAAATCATGTACACCTTTTTTACAAAATAAATCAGCTCATAAAAATTTATCAGAAATTTGAATTCGAAAAATCATTTGAGATGATAAGACCTGATGAATGTATTCGTTAAGAGAAAGAAAAACAAATAATTACTGCATGAAAATAGATAGCTTTTCCAGTAAAATTTTTTAACATAAAATTGACTAGGCCTTTCTATTTCAGTATGATATTAACTCGTCGAAACTTAAGTGCTATAATAGACGTGAAGTAAATTTCATATTGCAAATGACGAAATTCAATAAAAATTTTACCTTTTCAGCATTGCTTTTTCTTACAGGTTTTTGCAAATACCGCTATCTCGATTATATTGACAGATATAACTTTCAGTGCATCGTTCAGAAAATTCATAGAATATTAAAAATACCAACGTAATTTACTTTTAATATACTAATCATAACTGTAAAATGATGTATTTTTGATCAAATTTCGCAGATCGTAGCTCACATGCACAATCACCCGATTATTGACAGATTGAGGATATGAATAGAGTCATAAATTATAAAAATATTTTATTTGTATCGATCAAATGATTGTATATGTAAGCTGCGATCGGCAAAATTTGATCAAACATACATCATTTTGCAAACAGAAGTAAATGAGTGTTTTGGTTTGTGAAAATATGATACTCTATGAAATTTATTGCAAATTTGTAGATCAAAAAAGAAATTACTTAGTGGGTAATATCAAAGAAAAATCAGGCTTCAATCATATAAGATTTCTATTATGATATTGAAGTTGGTTTTATCATGCTATCGGGAATTGTATTTAACCCACTATATTTTGATTCAAAAAAGAAAATCGCTCACTCAAAAATTTTTGTTTAATTGTATTGTACGTACGATTATGTAAGTGCATATGTGCGTATGTTCGCACGTTTGCACGTACTAATGCTAGCTCTGGTACAGCCCCCCAAATTTTTTTGTTGAAGAGTTTTTGAGGCTTAGCATTGAGTCAATAACATAACATACTGTATA